CTGTGCACTAGTCAGGGAACGATACGGCTGTGATGGTGGATGCCTTTCTCGACACCGATGAATGTTTTGGGCTTCTTATTCCTCAGAAAGCATGAACTACTTACTATTCGTGTTGAACCACTGGTATTTGTCATCCGCAACCGAATATGGATCCACATAAATTATCTACCTACAGGAAATACATCCACGTTGATCCTCCCATATCATCACCTAGTCGTTGTGTTTCATCAACCAGTTGACTTCTTTTTTCCCCGTCTATCGATGTTATGCAAATAGTCTAGATTGATAGGTGCTTCTGGAATAGATTGTACGAAACCAAATTTTTGGAGTACGTCATCAGTCGGATGCAACTCAACAATAACATAACATATTAGGTGGGATACAATGCCTCATTTTGTGAATAACACAAGGACTCCATTGAAACCAAAACAAATATATATAATTCTTTTCAAAATAATATTTTAATTATATATCGATAATTAAAGGTAAATAACAAAATTTAAATACATACCCGTGTACCAGCTTTTTGATCAATGAGTAGTTGAATTTCTTCTAATTCGTCTGGTATTTCACGATGATCTTTCCTTACACATGACCACCTATTCAGTGTAAAAATATTCATCATACATTGAAAATTTATTTATATACAAACTCAGTATTGAAATTACATCAGTAATAACGAGCAGACTAACGGGTTCTTCACCACCGGACATAAAAGGGAATGCGATACCACGCCTATGATTGCAGAAGCAAGAGATATCTGCCACTATCATTTTTACGATAATCATTTGTTCGTCATATTCCTCTGTGCAGAGATGCCAAAACTGAGGAGCCCCAACTGAATGACCAAGCAACTCAAAAATCGACGAGGTGACACAACCACATATTATGAACTTGGTTGAGAGATTTATCGAGCATCAAGATCCCTCCTATGAGTCGTAATATGCAAGCCCATGCAAATATTTTAGCCTCCTCATCGAAACAGTTGTCGCTCAACTGTCAAAAATTTGTAGCCAACCATGATAATGGTATTCAACCACTGTTGAAATTTGGCGGGATACCCCCAAGATACTCCTCACACAAGGAATGTCAATCACTATCCGCAACACCAGAAATGACATGCTCATCTACTGGAAGCCCCAAATATAAAAAAACATCCTCTAGTGTAATAGTGCACTCCACACACGGTAGATGGAATGTGTATGCCTTTGGTCTCCACCTCTCGACCAGTGTAGAAATAAGGTTGGATTCAAGGTTACAATGCATTTCATATATAGCTATGTAACATAATCCAGCCTATGCTAAATACGACCAGACACAATTCGATATCTCAAACTTAGCGTTACGAATAAATTGATCTATTATATGGTCATTTCCTTAATTACAGAAACAATATACAAATTAAAATATAAACTAATACTAAAAATAAATAAATAAAACATTCAAAATAATTAACATAACATTCAAATTATTACCATATCCGCAAAATGGCTCGAGATGTGATCTCTATCTAAACGCAGCAACCCGCATTCCATTTTATAATTGCAAACCATAAAAAAGTTTGCACAGTCAAATATAATAAAATAATACACTATTTAATGATTATAATATAATAAAAATAATTTTACATTATAAAAATATTAATAGAACCCACTTGAAACTTGTTAGAAAGAATGATAAAAGTAAGAATAAGAGTTTTTTTTATGTGGTTTTAGAGTTGTATGAAGTGGTATATATAGGGGGAGAAGTAGGTGATAATTAAGGGGGATCGACAGACGGTTGGGGGTATTTATGGAAGGCGCGTATCACCATTTATGGAAGGCACGGATGGTGAACCGTGTCTTCTATTGTGTGTCAGTTTTCCCTACGAAGCTAGGGATGGTGATCCGCGTGGCGCCATCTCATATGAAAACCCAGGGATCTACGCCTTCAGTCCATGTCAGCAAATGGGTGTTAGATTGGTAAAATTTGGTCAATGGGTGCCTGATAGGTAATTATTGATTGGTTGGGTGATTTTTGGGTACAAACGCCCATTTTCAATGCAGTATCTACAACTGACACAGACTCAAACGAAAATATCATTTCATCGAAAATAACATGAAGTGAGAGATACACTTTCTCATCCGACACTAAGAAAAAATTACTCCGATGTTGAGCACTATAACCGAGAACAATACAAGGTTGAGACCAAAAATAAAACTTATGCGATTGAAAGGGTTATAAACACAAAAAATACCAACATCCAAACACTCTCAAATGATCCTACCTTGGTAACTTACCGAAAATTTTCTAAAATGACGACACACCACCCAACACCTTGGTGGGTAGTTGATTGATTAAGTGATTTGTCGTGACAACGACATATGACCAATACTTCAACATCAAGGTAGCTTGAGCCAACAATGTGACAGCCATATCAATTATGTGTCTATGTTTACATCCCACAACCCCATTTTGTTGTGAGGTATGTAGACACATCACCCGATAAATTATCCCATCACCTTGGAGTGCTTTGGCTAAGCTTCGATATTCATCACCGCAATCACTTTGAACCTCTTTAATCAAAACATTAAACTGAGTTTGAACCATCTTTTGAAACAACCGAAAAGCCTCCAAAGCTTTAGATTTACCGCTCAACAAATATACCCATGCATGACGTGTGTAAGCATCAACGAACGACACATGAGGAGATCGGCAAAGATCTGTAAACACCAATTGAAACTGACCATTATACTTCGTTTAAGAATCAACAAAAGGTAATCTATCACTTTTCCCTAATTGACAAGAAACACAAACATTCCCATTATTCTCATTGTCAACAATAATATTACAATTCCGACTCAATTTCAACAATACATCATGACCCTAAGCGTCTATGCCACAAATCATAGACATTATTAGTAACACACGCTAAATTGGTTTCTATAGTGCTCCCTTCTGAACCGATCGGGATTGAATCAAACTCGTATAGCCCTCCATTCTCATGCCCTTCAAGCAAAACGGCTCATGTAACTTAATCACGAACAACAAACCGTTGGGCATGAAACTCTAAAAATACCCCATTGTCTCTAGTAAACTTCGACACCGAAAGTAAGTTTTTAGTAACATGAGAAACATGAAGTAACTCGTTAAAAAGTAAGGTACGAGAACAAGTTGGCAAACTAGAATGACCAACACTATTAATAGACAAGCCTTTACCATCTCAATAATAAGCTTAACTGCTCCTCGGAAAGTAGACCCGTCCTCAACATCTGTAGCATCAGCAGTGATATAGTGTGTAGCCCTTGAGTCAACACACCAATTACCTCACTGATCACCACCGTTCACCACGTTCCCATGGCCACATACACTGACCAAAGCAGCAGCGGGTTGTTCATGCCCTCTCGGATACACGCAGCCACAACCAAAACTATCACCAGAAAAAGAACAGACATTTGCCGAAGCAGCATTAATCGAGGATCTACTTTCAGACGTTACCGTAGCTGCCTCAAACCCAGGAAAAGATTGGTCGAACCGGTACCAGCAGCAACCGATAAGGTGACCCACCTTCCCACAAAGTTGACATTGAAACCTGCTGCGCCCGTGACCTCTGCCCCCATTCACACCATTCATACCTCGACCACCTTCATTCATACTAGCAGCAGGTTTGTACCAGGTTGAGAAAACAACATATTCGGTTGAACACACGACACGACTGCCCCGCTATAGAAAACACTTGATTTGTTGGAGTACAGGGCTGAACAAGTTGATTGGCACCCATTCCAGCAGACCTATTATCCCCCGTGGAACCAGTAACCGTCAACTTTGCCATGGTGGAACTGATCTGAAGAGTATCAAGCTGATCAAGGTTGCGTTGCTGCATCTAAGCATCAAGAAAAACAGCTTCAACATTCTCAAGCGAAAAATGATCCCTATTTGCACAGATCTCTTTAACTTCCGAGATGTACAACCGCATGTTCTGCTATCCTTTCCTCACCAATTTCAACATGTAAAGAAGATTCATTATCGTCTTCGGAGATTTACTTGCAAAGAATTTCGTAACTTTGGTCCAGATCTCGGCCGCCGTATCTGCTCCAACGAGATGCGGCAACAACGATGGGCTGATCGTTGACAACAACTAGGAGGCCAAGGCGTTGTCTTAAGCGACGAAAACTTCATATGCATTGTTGCCTACTATCGAACCATCTTTATGAGCGATCTTCGGACTAGGTGGTTGAACACCGCCGTTAAGAAGCTTCTCCAGCCGAGGACTTCCCACCGTGAGGAGAATCTGTTGCTTCTACAACAGATAGTTAAACTCATCCAAGGTCATGCTAACTTTCTTGTTTGTGAACATTCTCTCGCCAGAAAAGCCAACAGAAAAAGAAACTGCCACCAGACTTCAAGCTCCAACGCAAGAAAATGTGAAGAACCCAGAATCACCTAACACTGATACCATGTAGGTTTTCGGGGTTTTTTTTTTTTTTACAATTTTAAGAAAACTGGAATGGACATCTTTATTAGCACCAAGTACACACAATACATAGGAGACTACAAGTCTACCTAACCTCCTAACTGCACAATGCTAACTGTGCACGGTTTAAGTAACCGCCAAACTACCATCCTCACGTGCTAAAATAAGCTAACATATTTGTATTGACGTGGCTTCAGGTTTGATAGAATTTCAGTTGCCGACTATTTTTTGTTTCTTATTGTATGTTTTTCATCATCATATAACTGTTTTTCGTGAATCCAAGTTCCAAATTTTTAGGTTTATGATGGGTCTTTAGCAATGAACATAAAATTGTAAATTCTCACATAAAGTGTATGATAATTTTTAGAAAAATGTATGAAGAAAAATTTTAGATCATTATATCGGATCGTGCATGAAATACATTGGAGAGAAAGAGAAAATTATGCAGTTAAATTACATTAGTGTTATAAGCATATTTTACATAAAAGAATAACCAAACCTTAAACCAGCTTGTTTCACGGTTGTTAAATGTCAAGACCTAAAATTTGTTTCCACATATCCTTGAGCTAGTCTTTGTTATGTTCTGACTGAAATTTTATCCTATCATTTTCTTCTTTAATCTTGGCCCCTTGGATGGCCAACATCATTCACTCTGTAATGAGAGAAAAGATAGATCATATGTATTAGTGAGTAAACTAAAATAAAATAAATTTTCAAAAAGAAGAAAATAGATGAATATTGGAAGTGACCTACCAGACAATATCTCGGGGAGGATACAGGACTGCCTGCAAAGAAGAAATGGGCCATTCTCTCCTCAGCCATATCTCTGAGTTCAGAAAGCAATGGTAAGATTTCTTTCCCAAGATCTGGTCTGTCTTTACGCCTAAGTTCGGCACATTGAAGAGCCATCTTTGCCAATGCCAAGGTTTCTTCTGGCCAATCCGTCACTGCAGGGTCAGCCATCTCCGTAAAAAATGTGCCTCGCTCGATTGCTTGCTCTACATAGTGAGTCAGTCCCATCGGTTGCCTCGCCGTTATAAGTTGAAGAAGCAATATCCCTAATGAGTATATGTCTGATTTCACACCAAGTACTCCTGTTTGCTGATATTCCGGGTCGATGTAGCAAAACGTACCTGCTGCTGAAGTTATATGCACTTGTGTCATGTTCTCAGCAACAGCAGGTACGAGCCTTGCTAATCCGACATCACCGATCTTGCTAACGTAGTTGTGATCAAGCAAAATGTTAGCAGGCTTGAGGTCACGATGCACGATTGGCTCAGGCTTTGTCTGATGGAGAAAAAGCAGACCTGTGGCTATATCTGCAGCTATTCGGAATCGGATTTGCCAAGACAGCACTGGGGTGTTACCTTTCCGAAATATGCAATCTTCTAAGCTTCCGTTGCTCATGTATTCGTAGACTAGAATGCCATACTCAGGACAGGCACCTAGAAGAAGCACCATGTTCGGATGGCGTATGCAGCTCAGTACTTCAAGCTGCGCAACAATAAGAAAACACCAACATGTTGCTTCATATTGTATGCATGGGAAGCAAACAACAGAGCACATAAACCACATACTAGTTGCTTACCTCTTGCAAAAATTGTAATCTCCCTTGAGCTGCATCTGGTCGTAAAATTTTGACTGCAACCTGTGTATGGTCAAGATAACACTTATAAACAGGTCCATAACCCCCTTCTCCGATCCTTAGAGATGGAGCAAAGTTCTCGGTCGCTTGTTCGATTTCCTCTATCGTATATCTTCGATATTGGATTTTTCTATTGGATAAAGCCTTGAGCATTTTCTTCAATTCCATTGCTTCTCTTAGAGCCTCCCCTTCTAAATTGGATGGTTTTTGTGATACTGCAAGTCTCTCTGCCGCTTCAGCTGCTTCAACAGCGGCCTTGCACTTTGCCCTCTCTGCTTCTACAGCCGACATTGCTGCTTCTTCAGCTTGTCTTGCCTCTTCCAATCTTTCTTCTTCTTTGTTCTTGTATCGGTTCAGGTCCATTGCCTACTTTAAAATTTCAGTAAACTGTTGTCCACAGATTTACAAACACCAAGTTTTTTATGCATTTTCATTGGACATGGGTATCGGATATAAATAGTACCTGTTGTTTTGCTGTCAAGGCTTCTCTACATGCGTTACTGTACAAATCCATTGTTTGCTTAAGTTCTTGTCTCAATCTCTTCATTTCAGCTTCAACCTCATCCTATTTGTTTTTATATTTCCTTTTAAATTATATTACGGCAAAGGTGAAGGATTGGGGGGTGGGAATTAGACTGCAAACATACCAGATTTTGAGATGAACAAGAGGTTCTGGAACTCTCCTGTGACATTTGTGGATCAGACCACCTGATCCCTAAAGGCATGGATCCTATGCTGTAATCAGTGCTGGAGGACAACCGCGAATGTCGGCTTGAATCGAGGAATGAATCGAACAGCAAGGAGGAGTTACGATCAGTGCTGGGTCTGTCTGAGCTGACGAATGAGATATCCGTATCAGATTCGGGGAAATCCCCAAACGCTTTCATCAGGCTCGCCCTTGTACCTGGCAATGACGACTTGGAAGAACCGTCAAATGAAGTAGGAGGGTTGGTCACTTGAGCTGCTGCTGCATATTCAAAACATCGATTCAATATTTGATTGGAAAGAGACGAGAAAAAAGAGAGAAAGGTGAACCTGGTTTTGGAGGATTCTCGGGAAAACTTTGTATTTTAATCTGATCCAGAAGGGGAGAAGAAGATGGAGCCGAACGAGAGGCGTTTCGTATCGAAGAGATCTTTCCTTTGTTAATCACATAGACAGTGCAGAAATCTGGTGCTGCTTTGGTTACACAGGTGGGAGTATCCCCCCTGAATTTTCTGCATTTCATTAATTCCCACACCTATTAATGTGTCAAGCATACCTCATAAAAGCACCTTTTGATATGTCAAAGCATACCTCATAAAAGCACCTTTTGAAGGGGCACCCATAACTAACTTCTCAATTGCAGCCTGAGATACATATTCTGTCAAAGCTTTTACAACATCCGAATCTTGAAGTATCACATCAAGACATTGTATCTGCCACGTAACAATTGTTTCAATAATAAAAAAAAATACTAATGTGAAAAGGGTAGCAGCATATATAAACTTTACATCTTTCCGAGTACAGAAGCAATGGAAACTGAGGAACAATTCCTTGGATAGCTTGTCCATCATAAATTTTTTATGACCATCTGTGCTTGTTCCACTACTAACAACATTATCTGCACCCACGAAATACTGTAAGAATCATCGTATATTTTAAATACAAAAAAGGACATGAATACATACTGATGGGTTTAGTAACATGAATAAGAACAACAGTTTGGCCTCTTGAAATAAGGTGTTCGGTGGCCCATTTTAGAGCATGTTGGCTCCCTTTATCCTTGTCGATGGCCACAGCAACCAACCCATTGCCCCCTCCTTTCTTGCCTGCACCACCACCTCCTTTTGTGTGCCACATTTTCTATCCCCTTTTCTCTCTTAATATTTTTTATCTGCTTTTAAATAATTACTTCTTAGTTTCTTCTGTTTTGGTTCTCAAATTGAAGGCTAACAAATTTACAACTATTTTGACCGATAATTGTATAGTTACAAAAATACTTGAACTTACAAAATTATCTCCCTCTTTCTCTCCATTCCCCTCCATGGGTCAAAGAGCATGGTCTTTGTTGTTTTTTCTTTTGCTGCTAATCAACTACATTTCTTTCAAAATTCATATATCCACTCATTTTATTTATACAAATTGAGAAATCCAGAAGTTCTCAAACATGTCTTTTTTTCAAAAAAAAAATTAAATGTTTTAAATTTTTTATACTCAATTAAGCGCTTATACTTCAAAATTTTATCAATTTATTCCTTTGATTAATGTTATCGTTAATATTTAATAATTTTTTAAATTAATTTATGTGAAGAATTGTAGTGACTATTTTAATTATGACATTGAAAACTTTTGTCACAGAAAGTGTATTACTTGTGACAAATTATTTTTGTCACTTATGAAATGAGTAATGGTGACTTATTTCTATTTAGTCACACTTTAGATAATAATAGTGACAATTTTAAAATCCATCACATGTAGCTGTCACTGGTAGGCCCTGTTTGGTGTGACTTTCTAAAAATACTTTTAGCTAAAGAATCCGTTTTGACCGCATAATCAAAGTCAAATGAAAAACATATGGTGAAAATAGTGGTTTCAAATCAACCGCAAAAGCTATGATTTCTAACTTTTTCATTTTCAACATTGTGTTTAAAAGCAAATTATAGTTTTACTCTTACTAATACATGATCCACTCAATTATGTATTTATATTTTATTTTAATAATTTAATACTAACATCCTTAAAAATAATTTATTACTTAATAATTTATTTTAATTATTTAAAAATAAATAAAATACATGGTTCATATATTAAAATATTAATAATGAGTTATTGTAAAATATATTTGTATTATAATTATATTATTTTATTTATAACTTTTATTATAGTTTAAATTGATATATTTCATGTATAATAATAATTTCTTTAAATTTATTTATAATATATATATATATATATATATTATTTTTGAATGATAAAAGAATAAATATATCATTTATATTATGTTATTTTAAATTTTAAACGAGAGATTGTGGTTGAGTTGAAATAATCAAACATTTCATCTCGTTATGAAAATGAAATTAAGGAGATATATCATAGTTTCTAGTTTAATAAATCCACATTAATTTACAAGCACTAATGTATTTTTTTGTAATATTCTTTTAGTCAAAATAATATTTAATTTATTATTTCATAATAATTTTATATCCGCATGTTAGAAATTATTGGAATAATATATATTTTCTTAATAAAGTATTTTATTTACCTGAATTAGTCAGTTAATAGATCAGATATCAGTGATTAATTCAAAAAATATAAATATAATTTAAATTCTATATTTTTAATTTACAACATAATGTCTATAATAGACATTTTATCTTATCAAACTCAGTTTTTAATAGAAATCTCAAACAATTAAATTTTAAACTGCACTTAAATAACACTTTTAAAAATTCTTTTCTACAACACTTATAAAATTCATTTTTTAAAAAAGCCTTGTCAATCTGGTCCTTAGTGATTTATTAAGAACAAAACAAGTTGTCATTATCAATTTGTCACTAATGAAATGCTCGAATTAACGTAAATTTATTTTTTGTGGAAAAAGATGTAATAGTGATATTAAATTAAGTAGTCACTATTATTATCTATAATTATGAAGAAATTATTTTGCCACTATTTGGTTAATGATTTGTGATGAAAATTATTTTTGTCACCAATGAAAGGAGTAATTGCGATATATTTCTATTTGGTCACTTTTTTGGTAATAATTTAAAATTACATCAATTGTCACTAATATTGTTTAGTTGTGACCAAAGCAAGTTGGCATAATCAATTTTTAACTAATGAAAAGCTCAAATTGTTAGCAACTTAATTTTGTGGGAAAATATTTATTAATGACAACATATTAAGTCGTTACTATTATTATCCATAATTATGATGATCACATTTAGTTACTAGTCTTAATCGGTGATTTGTGACGAAAATTATTTTTTTCACTATTAAAATGAATAATTGTAATTTGTTTCTATTTGGTCACTAATAAAATGCTCAATTTATTGTTATTTTTTGAAAAAAGCGATGTAATAGTTACAACATATTAAATAATCATTATTATTATTTATAATTATAACAATAACATTTTTTCTGCAATAAATTTATCTTAAGTCAGAAAAAGTATATGTAAAAAATTAATTCTATAGTTATTTCCGGGTAAATGATGTTTGTGTTTTTATTTTTTTTCATCATTTAATAAAAAATACGATATTATAGGGACAAATAAATATAAATAAAATTAGAATATTCGTCCTTCAATAAAATTATTGTAGATACTACATTTTATCCAGGTTTCTTATTTATTTACATTGTTTTTTTAATAAATATTTTTTGGTTTATTAAATTATATAAGTTTTAATTTTAACTATTGAAAATGAGTAAATGTTAATGTTAATTACGTTTAATTAGAAGTTGGTGTATGGTTTTAAGTTAGTGTTAGTATACTAAGTACATGTTAGATAATTATATATATATATATATATACTGGTTTTTTTATTTTATTTAAGTGTTAATAGGTTACAATGGCTGGCCCAATTATATGCAAGCCCAACAACTAATTACAAAGCAACCCAAGACAAATTCAAGATACAATAGGCCCAACATTTGAAAACCCTAGGCCCATATATAGAAGCCCAATACAATTAAGGTTTCCACCTTTTCTCCCCAGTCGTTGGATATGTACTGGATCCAACGACCCAAAAGAAAAGAATTTCTAGAGTTTTACCTCAACCCTAAACATGTCATCGCCACCTAAGTCAAGCTTGTCTCATCGTCGCCGCCTCTGCCACTTGCTTTTAACACTTGTCAATGTCGTCGTTTCAGCTTACTACCAAAATGTCAACCAATCAGTAAAAAAACCAAAATCCACAAAAAGCATATATAACAAGGATCAACTTAGATAAAACAAGGAATCCCGAGGAGAATCTGGGACTGTCAACTGCAAAAAATAGGATAATCATGCCCCATTTTCATGGTAGCACCGAAGCAAACCATCGTAAATAACATGTAAAAGGAGCAGCATTCGAACAAGGAGGAGACCATTTTCGAACCAGATTCAAAATTAAAGAGAACCGAAGATCACCATTTTCAAACAGAGAAACCATGCAAAAGAGGGAAAAAAACGATAGGAAAGACGAAAAAAAAAGAAAGAGAGAAATGAGTCTTACCTTGTTAGACGTTCATCATAAGGTCTATTTATTTTTTTAACCATGAAATAAGCTATGGGTTATTTCTGAATTTCAGTATAGAATGTTTCCATAATTATGTTTTAGTCCCACGTGCTTTATCAATATCATTTGGTTAAACGCTTAATCTAGTTCATTAATTTGACATTTGTTCTATTTTAGCCCTTATTTGCAATATTACTTGAAATTGTTGTATTTATACATTTAGTGCTTCTAACTTTGTTTGTCTTTGCTTGAACTAGTAATTTGGTAGTAAATAATAGGTACAAAATACTTTTATAGTTTCCTATTTTCTTATTTTTCTAACTTGGTGATTCAGTTATATTTTGTATGTGCTTAATTTTTATTTATAATATAAATATAATATATTAGTGTATATGTATTGTTATTCAAAAATGATATTTTAAATATGTATTAAATATTTAGTTTTGAATATAATATATTCATGTAGGTATTTTTTGATAAGATTTATGTACATATTTATGTTTTATAAATGTAATATAATTATATAGGTATTTTTAAAAAAAATTATGTTTGTACTTATACTGATAAAAAGGATGTTTTTTAATATTCTATTAAGTATTTAAATTTTATAAAATTATTATAGTTAGCTTTGTAAAATTATATAAGATCATTTGCTAATTATTCGACTAATCTATGGAAGACCTCTAAACGTCTTAGGTGCCCTTCCGAGGGTTATTTGAATAAAATAACATTATCATTACCATTTTGTTGCTTATTAAATTAATCATATATTTTATTATTTGTAAATATTTTATTTTTATTTTTATCAGATATATTATATTTTTAGGTATATATATATATATTATTAAATATATTATTTTTAATTATTTTCATGAGTATAAATGTCTTTTTTTATTTTTTTGTATTTATTTATTTACATTTCATTAGTTATTTTATCCATGCTTAGTTTTAATATATTTTATTGATATTTCATTCATCATTTATATGTCATTTATTATTGTTACATTCATAAATCATGCATTTGTTTTCTCGTTTTCTAAAATAATCAAAGGCAATGTTATCTTGTGACTTGGGTTAACGAAATTGCGTAGAAAATAATTAGATTTCAATTTATGTTAATTCACGTGGTATGGGGACATCATTATTAAATAAAATCGTGTGAATAAAATCATTTTTATTGAGATAAATATTTTAAAAGAGATTCACTCATTTGTTCTAAAATCGTAGAAATAAAAGGATCGTAACGTAAATTTTGAGTTCAAATATGTAAAATTCCATCGATTTTGACAAAAAATAATCAAGGGTGCCCATTTTGGGCGTTGTGGGGGTGCTCACCCTTTCCCACATGTAACCGACTAGTGAATCCTAAAAAATGAATTTCTGGTAATATATAGACCAAAATTGTCTTTTAAATGATTTTTTAATTCATTAAAAGATATTTTTCGGTATTCGACCTACCTAACTAAAAGGTCGATGGTGATTCTCAATTTTAAATTAAACTAAAATCCAAAATTTCTAAAATAAAGCCATAATTTTTTTAAACTTAATGAAGAAAATGTTATCTTGGCGACTCCGTTGGAGACACTAGAGAGTCAGGCTCTATTCAATTATATGTTGTCCGTGTCGATGGAATTTTACAAATTTGAACCATTATTTG